CCACTGCCATCAGAGAATACTGTTGTCTTGAAGAGATGCACTTGATCTGCAACAGTGTTTAGGTAGGTGTTATGCTTCCCCAAGCAAGCAAAGCACACGATGTAAAAGAAAATGTGACTCATCAGACTGGGCCACCTTCTTCCACTGCTCTGTGTTCCAGTTCTGACACTTAGGAGATGCTCTGACCCAGTTGTCCAGCCATCACAATTGTTGTAGTCACTCAGAACCTTGTTCATTTTTCCTGCTTCCAACACATCAACTTTAAGAACCGACTGTTCACTTGCTGCCTAATTTATCTCACCCCTTGCAATGAGACAGTCACCATCACATGCCAGTGGAGTTAATGGCATGGCTGATCAGTGTAGTTTTAAGACCCACATCTTAATATTTTATCAACCGTGTACTTGTCTTTGTCTTCACAAAGTGCATTTTCACTTATCAGCCTGAACAAAAGACTAACGTCAGAAACGGACTTTTTTGAATACCTTTCTTCCCCAGATGCCCAGCATGAGGCCGTATCTGAAGACAATCGGCTACTCCAGGTTGTAAGAGCGTTCATCTCTGGGCTTGCACGTTTGAGGAGGGTCGACTTTAGTAAAGAGAAGAAAAGAAACTAACTTTCCTCTGTTTAAAATTTCTTTAATGGTTCTGTTGGTATAGCATTTGGAAGCATTAAGTCAAGACATGGTCAGCAGCCATACAAAACAAAACCAACCGATCAATGTCAACGGAGAGGAAAAAAAAACACAAAGCCGAAAAAAAAAAAAAAAAGACAATTAGGCGTCAGGTCATCACAGTAAAAAGATACGTCGATTCTAGTCAAACTCAACAGCATGCTGAAAATCAAAGCACGCGCGCACACAGACACACACACTCATTCACAACTTCTAAAAAGGCTGTAGAACAACCCTGATAGATAAAATGTACAGTAAGACACAGAGAAAAACTAAACAAAACAATGCATAGGTAAATGAAGAATGTTTCAAAATAAAAGTAAACACACAAAGACAAATGTCTGTCGTATGGGATCTGTTGGCCCATTTACATTACAATGAGTGTTGAGGACATTCAGACAGAAGTTATTGCCAACAAGATATAATGGATAACACACTCATACAAAAATTATATAATTTTTCTGAAACATTTTAAAAGAGTAGCTTCCGGAAACGTCACGAATGTACAAACAATGGTCACTATGGCGAAACTTCAAACATCCTCGACTCCACTTGAATGAACATTAGAAACCACAAGGCAGACATGCTTGGCTTGAAAACATTACGTTACAATTATTTATACAAGTTAACAAACTGTACTTAAAACACATTAAATATTGAGCCTGTCACTACAAAAACATGTAAAATATTTGAGTCAGTTAACACAGAGAATATATGTTTTAAAATCATTGAAGGAATAAAAACAGGTCAAAAACTTTTCATTTATCCACTGAACCAAACATAGAATCTCTGTGCTACATATCAAAATGTATTTTTTGCAAATATCTCATTGATAATAGTGCAAGAGATACAGTACAGTCAGAAGAAGCACAAAGTTCTTATGTTTGGTTTCACGTGTTTAAACAGGTAGCTAGAAATTAGAGTTTGTGTGATTTTAGTGTGAACAAAGAGCCGCTGCTGATGATATTAAAGAACGACTCGTGTTTGTTTTTCCACTGTCTAATAGTTCTCCATCTTCAGTGATGTGCCGGAGGAACAGGGAGTCAATTCAGTAAACAATAAATTACAACTACAGCTTGTCTCATCAATTTTCTTAATATGTTAATTTTATCTTACAGATTAAAAAAAATACAACTGGCACAATCAATTTATTATTGTATTTTCCAAACTATCTGTACAATAAAAAAAGGTTTTACATGACACAATAACCCAAAACAAAACCAGTATTTGTTTGGGGAGACCGTGTACACCTGTGTTTCATGTGATTATGTTTGCTAGTGTCTTTAATTCTTTTACGCTCTCCTGGTGAGAAAAGCATTGTGGCACTCTCAACAAGCCCATGGATCAAAATAAAGCAGCAGAAGGGTAAGTGCGGCTTCATTTACAAAACTGTGCTGAGGAAGAAAACTGAGATCGCTCAAAAACAGCCTTGACTTAATGATCACCCACTGATTGCGATGCGAACCTTGTTAGCCTGCCCTGTTCAGTCCCATAATTAAACATGAATGGTTAATGAGAGACCTGTTGTGAGTGTTAATGTACACGTCAGTCGGCTTGTCGTTCTGGTATTTGTGCAAGAGAACAGAGAAATGAGCCCGCACACCACAAATGTTACAGCCTGTCACAGCAGCAGCGACTGCTGCAGGATCACACAGCCAAATTACTCTGAAATGAAAATATTAATGGTTAAAGCACACGAGCCAGAGATAAAGGTCAGAGGTCAGTTGGGGCTAATGTCACTTCAATTGATAATTTGTTATATAACTGTTGCTAGAAAACACTAAACAGACTGTAATTTGATAATAAGCCAAATAAATTGTCTGCATTACATTTTACGGTAAAACTTGAAGTCCATACAGTAACTACTTATGGACCGTGTAATTGAAGACAAACTGTACTTTACTATCATGTCACTCATCATCTATAAAACAGCAGAGCAGTAGTTGCTGACAGACTGACACGTACAACTACAATATACTGTGTTAAGTTTCATAACAGTGTTTCTGGTCATGTAAATGAGTGGACACTGTCCAGAAACATCTGGATCTCTAAATCCCAATGTCTGCATGGGTGTGTGCAAACTGCTTGTTATGCACACAAAGTGTTTTATAAATGAGGCCCCTGCTGTGACAGAATCAGAACACAATAGCCTTTATAACACAGCTAAATCAAAAACAATTTCAGCCCATTCAGGGTAAGCAGAAACAATTCAAATCTGTCCTCGATCAATCTTCGCACTCACTGCTTTACCAAACTATACTTCTCTTTGCTTCAGTCAGTTCCTCCAGTGAGCACAGCACACAGAACACGTAACACTGCCTAAAAAGTCTCAACACAGAGAAGACAAGACAAAAGAAAACCAACCCCTCCCTCACTGAAAAAAACATTTGATACTCATCCACACAATCTCTGAGTGTTTCCACTGACCGCCTTGTTGCCAAAGCTTCATTCAACCCACAGTGACCCATGTGAGTGCATCTCAGGTAATGGTGTACCAGCTTGTGTGAGGAGGAGTCGGGATGGAAAAGGATGAGGGAGAGCGAGGGAGCCACCTCCTGGTATCTCTTCCCCTCCTTTCCCGTCTGCTCTAGGTGCCCCTCCTCTCCTGAGCTCATCAGCGTTGTGTTTGTGGAGTTTGGGTTGTTGCGGATCGCGTGTAGAGCTGGACGAGGGTGGGGTGGGGTCCAGGGTCACTGCCGCCGATCCTCTGTCTCTGACCGTGAGAACGCCATCACCACATCCTCTGCACCTGAGAATGAACAGTGGAATATCAACTAAGTAAGTTCTCTGAATCATTTACAGTTAAAAATGTTAATTAAAATAAGAGATGTTGACGTTCAAATGACCTGCTCCTTATGCCACTAAGTAAAATACTGGAAACACTGAAAACTGAGAAGAATCTATTTTAGTGAATCTATTGTAAATGGGGGCTTCTAAGGAGAATGAGATGTTACTGTTGTCTTATTATAAAAGCCAGAATCAGATTCAAAACATAAAACAACCATCCAGAAGACTTCTTACTGACACTGGAGACCTTTTAGCTTGAATGTGTCAAAGTAGACAAATCTAGATGTAACGCAGACAAACTGAACATTTTACTTCAGTTCCACTTGATCTACCTCATGTATTGATTAAAGACACCAGCAACTTCACTAGCTTGAATTTTGAAAAGGTGAGGTGTAAAAGTCTAGTGCCAAAAAATAAATAAATAAATAAATAGATACTGAACCATACACCTACATACACATCAGGATATATCCACATGATTATAGCTCCCTCCTGGTACCAGGAACCAAATGTGCCAAAAATAATCAAATAATGAGACTGTGGCTATGTCTGGAGTATGGACTTGTGCAGGTTGCCTGGGTGAAGGTATCTGGGACATTTGTTGTGCATACATTCACAATCACAAAGCTGTTTGGTGTGATCATTGATGCATCTGCATTCAGCTCATACTACATACCTTCTCTGTCTCTAGGAATCCCAGACATGTTGCTCAAATAAGATGATGCCCACTAAGTTTTCTACCCCCTTGTGATCGATCACCCAAAACTGTGAAGAGAGTCAGGTTTTGTATAGGTCCTTGGATCCTGCCAGTATCCTGTAAATGCTGTCATCTGTGACTACAAAGCCAATAGGAGTTAATCCTTCAGGTGCTTGCAAGTAATTGCATCCACTGCTCTATTTGCATTCACCAGTAGCGTCGGCCATCACAACGCCCTAACGGGAGATACTGAAAAACCCTGAGTGGCCCACTGACAGCAGCATCCAGCTCTTCTACACTCAGATCTGAGGCTTCAATACCTTTCAATCTCCTCTGATGTTTGCAGCTCTGACTGTGATATCAACCTTGCTACGCTATGGAAAAAGAATCAGTGGTCGCAGTGATAAGAGAACGAAAACACTGACAGCACACAGAGCCAGATTTCTATTGTCTCTCTTTTACATGTATCAAGTTAACGAGGTCCGACCGATAATTATAGCCTCATCTGGGCCGAGTCAACTAACAGATCCTGCCAGCTACACAGTGTGACTTTGTTTAACAAGGAATCCTTCGAGTTCTTCTCTGATAAATGAAGATCTATTCTTCCTGTGTTGTTTGAGGAAATAAAATTAACAATGCTCTCCTCAATGCTCACCTCATGTCTCCAACTGTTCTTTCAAAGAGGCTCCCCCCTTTTTGCAATTCAGTCTGCCATCCCTCCATACAAAACAGAGAGCTAAAGGCACTTCTGTTAGAAGAAGTAGGAAAGTATTCATATTCCTCTTGCAAAGTCTGGAGTCTGGTGAAATTGAAATGTCAAGTATACAAGACCACAAAGTACACATAGTAACATTTCTAGTCTCCCCAAACCATTAATAAAAAAAAAAAAAGCTTCTCTTAAAGACGAGTGGGTCCAATGACAATGAGGTGTTGTTGCCAGTGGAAACCTTGATCACTGATATAAAAACGTCTGACAACCTACACTCACATAAATATCATTAACACCTAATTCCTCACCTTTGCGGATGATTGAGAAAAAATGTGTACTATTAAAAGCCTTTATTTTCTGCAGCATTCAAGTGCTTGTTAGATTTAATTAGTGGAGATACAAAAGTAGGCCAGGACTGTGAGCGTGAATTGGGCACCGACCCTTGATCAGACAGCAGGGACCATCCAAACAGAGTTCTGTGTTTCATTTGGAACTTCTTTATGGCTGCATTCAGGTCATCATGAACTTGGTAAGATCAATGTGTTTGGGGGGAGGCTGCCTTTTAAAATGAACTTGAGTGTGTGACAAAGAAATAGTCAACAGGCAAAGGAAGCACCAGAACAGGAAACTGGAGACAGAGTGAACATGTTAGATATCAGCTAATAACAAATCTAATCTGCTTCGAGACACCACATTGGGATAATGATGCTCAAACAAGAGACAATTATGTAATACCACGCAATAGGAGACTCGTCCTGAATTACACTATTGCTGCATAACACAGCAGCTCAAGATGAAGTTTTGGTGCAGGAAATTGAAATAGCACATATTTATCATAGTAAAGACCAACCTGAATCGTTTTGTGGTTGTGTGATGGAGATCACTCTTGTGCAATAGGCAGTTTGGAGGAAGGCCGTGTGACACACTGCGCCGCCACTTCAGACAAATGACCATCAAAAATGCTTTCAGAATATCTCCACAGAGCTATATCCGGTTTACTTAAGAACTTTGCCTGAGAGTCATGGTCAAACCTTGCCCTGCCACACACACACACACACACACACACACACACACACACACACAGACAAACGAGCTCTAGCCAACATGATGAAGACGTTAGGTGCCTCAAAACAGTTGCCTAGCGACAGATAAAAATCAGACTGCATCAGTGCCTGGCAGCCTGCTGCTGTGAGCAAACAGCTTTGGGTTGGTTTCAGTGCAGCTAAGCATTCAGCGTTTTCCTCTGTGTGCTGATCCCCTCCATGCCCTGCACAATGGGGATAAACGGAGTGGGTTCAGACTGTGGATTACATGAATAACAGCAAGGACGAGCTTCTGCATTCATTACAGAAATGGGTGCAAAGAACAGAGGGAAAAGGATGATTATTTAAACACAGAGTAGAAGTCAGATTGCTTTTTGGTTTCAAAGACAAACTGCACAGAGATTATGGAAGGAAATCACAGAGAAACAGCAGTTGTGAACTCAAGTCTCAGAATAAAATTCAACCTCCTAATGATACGGGCTTGGTCTAGTGCTAACAATCATCTGACTGATGACTGACAGAACCTTGGGTAATCAACCAGGTGTCAAAAAAAAAAGCCTTGCCTTTCATAGCCATCAGAAACTCTTTTTAATAAAATGCCCAAATGATTCAAAACCAAGTCTTAACAGCTTCAATTTATGTTAGTTAGCTAACAGACACATTCACATACTTTACATACCGCTGTTCTTTTCTTACTACCGTCATCAACAACAACAGTCCTAGAACCCACATCTTTTTACATTTTTGGATGAGGCTCCTACACGATAGCTGCATTCTGCAACCTGTTTCCCTCTGCTGGTCTGCCATGTTCTACTAAGTTACCAGGTTTGCGTGTCTCATGTCATCTGTCTCATGTCCAAGCCAAGTCTCAAGTCATGAAAACCAAGTCAAAGTCGAGTCTTTTACCAGTCTCAAGTCCTCAAATTCACAATCTGACGTCTGGCTTGAGCCATGTGACTTGAGTCCCCCACCTCTGCTAATTTCATAAGCAAACAGTCTTTCTTCAGCTTTCTGAGAAACTAAGTCAATAAGTGGTTGAGAAAATGTAGCCTGGAAAAAAAAAAACTCTCCCCTGCCACCTCTCAAGATAAGAAGCTGTGAAATTAATCCAAAAGGGAGTGTGTTTGAAGTTAAAGGTACCATGCTGCACTCCTCCTCTCTTGATACACACTGAAGCAACCACATAATGACTCCAGTGTTGCACCAAGGAAGCACTGTGTTGGCAGGCAGAGGTCACAATCTGTCCAGGGTCGGCTGAGAGGATACAGACACAGGACCCCCACCCACACAAACAACAGCAGGGGTGGATTGAAAAGAAGCATGAATCACAGCAGGGGTGTGTGCGCTCCAGCTCAACATGTTGACATCAACAAACAGCCTATTTTAACACATTTATGACCTTTAAGGAATGATCTGCTATTACAGAGTCACAGAATTGTACTACCAGTGAATCATTGTCATGTCAAATTCCTTCTCTTATCTCTTCTTAACGCCATTTTGAAAGCATCAATTTAAATTCCGATATTTTTTCTTTTATTCCTCTCAAATCTGGCCTTATATGAATATTACAAAGGCTTTTAAATTCAGACATAAGCACCTCTTACTACTGCTCAGTTATTAGTTAGACAATAAGACACGCTGCCATTTTGGTCTACGCTTGTAAAGAGTCAATGTAAATAGATCCTGGTTCATTAAAAGATTACAACATAGATTTTAAGTCAATTTGTAGTTCCACTGGTTGCAGAGCCATCTGTATCTAATCATCTCATATACAAAGGAATGATTTAGGATTACACAGTAAATGTCAGATTTTTGCAACAGTTTGTTCTTGACTTCACTTGGTGGTATATCAGAGATGTAACCAGCTTTGAAATTAGCTTTAAACAACAGCAAATAGATTTCAGACTCTTTTGTTTGATCTAAATAGATGATTTAAAGATGAATTTTATGAATTTGATGCTCCCTAGGCCACAATCATAAAGTAAATTAGTTTATAATGGAGCCGAGTTTTAGGGAGCAGGTCCAGAATTCAAAATCAGTTTGGTGAAACTTTAGGTTTCTGTTGCCAACAGAGCAGACATCATTAGACAGAAAACTGACTGATGCCGTACCTCAAAGATATTAAACTCTCTTTGGTCTATACCACCACACATATACTGGCACATTTGAGACCAAGATGAGAGTATATTTACAGAGAAACTCAAGCCTGACTGTTGAATCAGACAGACATGACGATTCATAAGTCTGTGTCGGGCTCTGATTCATGTTGCAGTAAGGGACAGGATAAAGAAAGAATCAATATCACTCTGCTCTGGCCGAGCTGCCAAACAAAGGCGGGTGCTTGCTTTGTGTCATGTGGCTTTCACTTGAAAAGGCAGGTTTAAGGACTGTATAATACACAGACAAAAAGAAACAACACTGTTATTGATTGCACTGGACTGTGCGATATCTGAAATGAGAGAGGCCAGATTTTAGTAGGAAGGGATGGGACTGGCAGAGAGAGACTGGGATATCACACACTGACTGTTTAATTAGCACTCCAGCTTGCCTTCAGGCCCCCTAATGACATCTGCTCCAATGTACCGATGCAGCACCTTGCAACAACACCAAAGTCCACAGGGAAGCTCTGCTTTCCTGGGACAACTACGGTTGCTATGACAACCCCTCCCTGTCTCTCCTCTTTTGTTGTTGCCCTCAGATGTCCTTCTAGGAGGAGTAAACTCCCCTTATCAAGTCAGACAGGATAACAAGTCCTTAGATGGCTGGCTTTATGTGTGGCTCTGACAAACTGTATTGTTTAAAGTGGCATGATGTCAGTTAGGGAACGAGCGTTAAAGACAAGGAAGAACAACAGCCTGACTGTAAAGAATAAACTAATGTACTCCCTCTATTATGCGCCACAGAAAAACAGTTTTTATCAGTATTACCAAAAAAGGGACCAATTTACACAGAGTGCATCAAACCCCAAGCCTCGCTTAATGAGTTCACACTTCATTTCCAATCATAATAGCAGCATTTAAACATAGCATGTAAAGTCTTGCCCGCCCACAACACTCTTCCAGCTACATGCAGGTATTCACAGTGAGAAATGTGAATGGAGAAAAAAGAAAACATCTACAGCTTCTACATCTATGCTAGAGTATCCCTCTTTGACCTGATTAAAATTGCAAAACAAAATTCTGTGTTTGCATGTATGGTAATTAGCCAATTAAAACTAAATGCAAATTCAGTGACCCCAGAATTATCTTGTTTCTTACAAGGACGACACAGCGCACCAACCGACTGCAAAGCAAGGTCTGACAGAGCAACACTTCCATTCAGTCTGATCAGCTCGGGTGAAGAGCAACATTTCTGGACACATCAGACTGGATCACCTACAAATTTCTTTTCTTATCAGAATATGCTAAGCTGACAACAGCAGTGATGTTATCTGATTGTCACATTATCCCGCACCTACACTTCTATTTGACATCTCCTGAATTAGGGCTGCACAATAAATCCTCTTGTGAGTTTGATTTAGATCCCTGTGGGATCTCAGTTTCATGTGACAATGTTTCTGCTGTGTTGGCATTAGCAGTGAGATCCCTTGCATCAAACCAAGCACTCCCTTTTTCTTGCTAAGATGCATTGACCAATAACTGCAAAGTGATTTATTTCTGCCTCGACTGCTATTTGGCATGAAGTGTACAGGGCAGGCAGCGCAACGTTTGAAAGATAGTTGCAGGACGGCACAGGATATCTTTCACGACGTCAAACATGTTGGATTTGTTCTTGAATCAGTCTTCTCTTCCTGGCTATACCTCATCTTGTGATGCAACACATTCGTGCTATTGCTTAACACAGCTTAGTGAGGAAAAGGGAGGGCTTGGTTGTCATCATACACCTGTATAGAACAGGTTCGTTTTTGAAAGGGCTGCAGTTTTGCCAAAAGATACCAATAATCAAGATGCATTAATATCTGCAGCTCAAAACCTTTCAGGAACTGTTTCAACCCTTGCAAAATGGATGACCTGTAAATACTGCTCAAGCTATAACCTGCACTGAATAGAAAGATAGTGCTTTCTGAAGCAACAACCACAGTACACTATGAAGTCTGGAGGCGAAACTGCTGCGAGCAAATGATGATAGACAAAAACACACAAGCTTTGCCTGGACAACTGCTGGCTAGTCACTGAAGGTGTCAGTGTGGCTGCTGTACTGTCTGATGGTCAGCTGGGACAGAGAGCACTATGCACACACAGCGGGTCCACTGTCATTATAATGAAGTGAGAACAACCTGATTTCTCTCAACATCCTTTTAGCACAAATATTTTACACTGGTCATTGTTTGTGGTCTGTTTCTGTAAAATTGCATTTCAAAAGGCACTAAAATGTTTCCTTTCACCTATTTATTTTCCCATATTACCAGGTCTAAATGAGATCACATAGAGGACTTTCCTTTTCATGTAACTGAACCTCTTCACACCGCCTCAAAGGATCCTGAATGTGCTGATACCTACAAACGTCTGTCCTTGAATATTTCAAAGCGATCAGCTCTCGCCTATCTCCGCGATGCCCAATTACAGTAATTTAGACAACATGCACACCGCAAATAATTTATTGGGACACAGGAGCTGGTAGGCTGCCAAATGACACTAGGCATGTCTGTTTTTGTGATGTATAATGCATGCTCCAAGCCCCTTCGACCAGACATATTCCTCCATAATTAATGAGGCTCTTCCTAGCAGTATTGACAGAGCAAAGATATGAAGTTCTGTATCTATTGAAGGGGATGAAGAAACAGATCAAGGGCATGTGCAAACGGAAAATTTATGCTCCAGGAAAGTCAGCACTGATCTCACATTTGGGTCCTGTACTCTTTAAGATCTCTAAGATACCGTCCATCCTAACTGATGCAATGATTTATATTCTGCTGCTTGATGAAAAACATACTATAATAATGGAATCTACCCTCTCTGTGGCGCAATGACTCACATTCAGATTCAACCGATGCAACCCACAATGCAGAATGATGCTGTAAAATTAACAAAATTTAATAGTTTTTTATGTTTCAGGTTAAAACAAAATAATAATACAAAGAGCCGAGAAGGACAACAAGACAAAGTCATTGTGCCATTTACTTGCCTCCTTAATATCTTATGTAAACCTAATTCAACACAGAAAATTACATATTTATCAATTCAAACAACATTGATTCTGTGCAGCAAAAGGGCATAGACAAGGAGACACGTAACTGTAGGTGAAGAGTTGCAGGCAATTTTCCAGAATTAAAGCTCATCCGAGGGGCCAATATTGTAAAGGACTAAGAAAGACCTGAGCCCCAGCAGGTTTTCCCACAGGAGGACAGCAGGGCTCCTACCTGGACAGCAGCTAAAGAATTTGCTTTGAAAAATCAAAATCATTTGGAATAATTTGCTGCTGCTTTCTCAGGTAACTGCAGTGCCTCTGTACATGTATTCTGTTGAATCAAGCGCCCTCTTGTGGTTACAACTTGTAAAAAACTGTGGAGGAGCTATAGACAGGTCAACAGCACCATCTGGTGCCCTGAAACAGCATGTTAATTTTAAGGTGCACACCAAGTCTTATAACCTGCTTTATCATGCAAACACCACAATATTTGAATTTGGTTCTCTATCTAGGCCACTCGTGAGAAGCAGTAATGCACCTGGCAATGCACTCACACAGAGATGAGTCATTCGGTTCCAGTCAGCCACACTGTTTGCTGTGTGAGTAATCTCACAGTACTGGTGGGCTGATGAGTCGGACTCAGTACACAGTCAGGGAATCTGTTAGGCCCACTGAGGTACGGACTCTAGAGGAGTGATGTGTGTGGAGGGATTTTCCCTTGTTCAAAGTCTAGGCTCAGCAACACCTCTGCAAAATGTGAGGGTGACATTTGTGGGCTGAAGTTGTTTTCAACGGGTTTGTGTTAACCTGGCGTCATAAACGCCTTCGATTCTTATACCTTTAAAAACCTAAATATAAAAATTGTAAACCACAAAGTCTGAAAGCATAAAGTACAAATACTGACATGCACTGAAAAATGTAATTTAACCACATTGGACAAACTATTTTCAAACTAAAACAAATGAATAATTCCTAAACGTGTGTGTGTGTGTGTGTGTGTGCGCGCGGGCATGTCACAGTCTTACCCTGGTCTATGTTGTGCTGTGGTAGCTGGCTCATCTGACTGTGGACCACACCTGCGTAATTTCGGAGAAAAGCCTCTTCACTCGGCGTAAGCTGAAGGGGAGTAAACAAAGTGAAGTTCCAAGTTATAACAAGAAGTCGAGGATGTGACATTTTAGATCCCAAATATATTTTAAAATAAATTAACTCAAAGATGACATATTTGATTTTGTGTTCTGGTATATCATTTTAAGGTTTCAGGATTATTTGACTGTTCGACCTCTGTAGAAAGTAGAAACTTTCTTTTAGACTCTGCAGAGAAAATGTATTCTCACTGCAGTGTTATCAATCACCAAGTCCGTCCTTGAGTCACTGAAAGTTGAGCATCTTCTAATGTTGTCTCTTGGTAACAAGTGTTCCGACTCAGCAGTTTATAGCTTTGGGAAGCACATTTGTTGATTTCACACCTTTGACCTAACTGTGACTAGGTTATTTGCTCACAACAGTCGATAGAGACAGCAGGTTTTAGCCATGGAAGACAAATTTGCATCATAGCAAAAACAAGATATCTGGGCAGATGTCTTCCATATTCTCTTGTGCAAATCCAAATTACTGCAGCACCAAAGTTACACATGATGATGACATGACAGGCAATCACGCCACATTTCAAGGTTCACATTTTAGGTAGAACCTGGACGTTTGGCTGACAAATGACACCCATCAGAAACTGATTTTGTCGGCCGCAGGTATGTAAGATTATTTCTGAGAGACTTTTTGTTTTAGCAAAAGCTTCAGTCTGTCCTCTGTACTCAACTCTCACCTCACAGAATAAGAGGTGCTACTTTATGCTAAAGCATAAACATCTTGAATAAAGATCTAAATATATTGTGAATCTGTTCTGAGGTTCTAGACATCGAATTGTTTGCTCTATAGTCTGTACAAGGCAGAACTATAGTGTAAAGCTTCTCCCCCTGCTTCTGGAAGCACTCTTCTCACAAATGACACATTTTAAGATGTTAATGATGGTTTCTGAGCATGTTGGCAAGGTTTATTTGGGGCAGATTTCAGGAGATAATGTGAGAAAAGAAAGATTGTGTGCATGTACCAGATAACAGGCAGCACTAAAACTTAATTATTGTTGTTTTAATCTTTAAAATGTGAATACCCTAATTAAAATGTCATGTGAACATAGTTTGTGTTAAGACACTATGCTTACATTTGATCCCATTTTCTTTAACATGAGCAGGACCCGCACTTTCTGTTGGATGTACATGTCTTCAGGAGACTTCCCCGGGGCCTCCTCGCGGTTCATCCCCCCTGCTCCTGTGGCTCTGGACACACAAACCAATCCACGTTACACAAGATCACCACAAAAAACCTCACGGTGTTATTAGAAGATGTACTTATAAATGAAGTACTTTAATCCACACAGTCTGACTGACCATATTCTGATCGAGGGATGCATCACCAAAACTGCTCAGACCTTTCAGACTATCCTTGGCAGTATTCTTCAGTAGATATGAGGTTCAGGCTCAACAACACTGAGTTAACACACCCTGGAATGTTACTATTATACCAACGTAAGACAGTTGTCGAGTGTTTTCTAACCTGACTTCTCAGATATGCACTACTCGGCTGCCGCTCAATATTTTAAGGCTAAACAATACTGTCTTTATGATAAGCACTTCAATGATGCACACCAAATAGTGATGATATTAGAGGTCAGGGGCCTTGTCTCAGTGCAGTCACAGTGCATGTTTGGCACTTCACAGTGTGAACTGGTTGTCATTAATACTGCATGGCAGTTTTCACACAGATCCACTCCTGCCAACTCCATCAATCTCTTATTCAACATTTCACTAATGAGCTACTTTCACTGTTAAGTCTGCAGATATGCAAAATATAGGCAAAGAGGGAGGGGTAAAAGGTGGCGGTAAAAGGAGCTGCCAAGGTTAATGTGCATGACAGAAAAGGGATAGGTTCTGCTGTGATAGCACACACACATCAAGGCCAGCTGTCTTCACATTAGATCTCAATTATAATGCACCAACAACGGAAGCATACAGCACAGCTTGATATCCAACCTAGATTTTCTAGCTGCAAAAGATAAACATGTAGATAAAATCATCTGCAGAAAGGAACTAAATAAAGATTTAAAAGGGTAAAGCTAGTGAAAGAAATTAATGAAGAGAATATCAATATGCAGGTCAGACATGTTCTCCCCTAAGAATCTTTTATTAAAAGCCTATGGGAGCCAGAGTGAATATAATAGCTATGGCAATTTATTTTGGCTTTTTATCTATACAAAGGACCACTAATGCACGTTGACGGACTGTTTGATGTGGGGTTACAGAACCCTTTCCAGGGCCCAGGGGTGGAGGATGAATGGGGTATTGCTGGCCATTTGCTGATGTTTCAGAGCCACTATGAGCACGTAGACTGGTCCAAATCAGTGCAGCTGGACAGCATGCTTTTGGCTATATAGTCTTTATAATTCCAGAAACCCTTGATGGCTGTTTATTGCAAGCAACCAACACTTTACTTTGTCCCCTAGTCTGCTTTCAGCCGCACAAAGTGGCAGCAGGACAGTGAATGAGGGGAAGACAAATACATTAGCTTTCACTTCAACCTGAGCATCAGGAACAGTTTAATTACAGTGAAAGCCAGCCAGACATGAAAACACAGAGGGACTGCCGGTGCAAGTTCAGTCGCTCAGTATACCTTTGAGGGATCGGTGGTGGTGTGTGAATGTATTTGAATAGGGGTAGTGATGGAAAGAAGATGTTGGTGGAGGGTGTAGGAGGGTGGCAATGTCTTCAGATTAGCAGCAGTGACATGTTTGATCATGTCTCCAAACTGAGCTGAGACTTCAGGCAGAGAGACGACACACAGTATAAAGAATAATAGAAACTCAGTCTGCCCACCTCAGAGGCACACTGGGTATAAAATGGTCACTGTGTGCGAGTGGTATGCGACTGTCTTGGCATTTTTAAATACAGAGAAAATGATACAACTACGATCAGGCATATTTTGAGACTTAACAACCTAAATATTTTCCCATGTTTGATACTGCACAAAAGGCCAATATATTCCACAGTCATCATCTGTGTAAATAAGCCTACTGCTTTCATGTCTGAGGCATTTCTGATCCACTGATGCTTCTGAAGTGGCAAAACTGGCCATATTTAGTACCATCTCTACCCAGACTCCTGACTGCTTTGAGGGTTGCAAATTATATTAATAACAGCCTGAAAAAATTGTTTATGTGATCTCACAGTCACAGCAATATCTGCCATAAGAACAACAAATGCAGTACACAAAATCCATAGAGAGAATCTCTGTAGGATGTTGAAACTAACTGGAATTGTAAATGACAATGATCTTCTATAGTGGCATGCTCGTGAGCCACTTTAAACAAAATGAGTAAAGGAAATGAACTCAGGTCCCATCCTTTTGTGGATTTTGTCTCTTCTTCGTCTGGCTGGTCGAAGCAGAAAGACCGATTTGTAGATGACTACTTTGGGCAGCAGAGTAGCTTCACTACTGAACAAACTAACCCTAACCCAACATTCCAGCAAACTGGATGACAACATATATATAAAACAGTGATTAACACTGTGCTTATGATTATGTAACAGATAGTTCCATCCATGTAATCCTGCTGAGACAAACTGGCTTTCCAGCCATGTTTATAATTCCAACAACACTCCCGGTGCTACTCAGGTGTCTGCCGTACAATCCTCAGTGCCATGCCTTCTAGGGTCCCATGAGATCCTGAGTCCTAAAACCTGAAACTGAACTAGTATTTTTGCACTTTTTGCAGCTTTAGGAATTCATTGATTATCTGATTACAAAGACATTAATCTGCAATTCTTTTAAGATGTTAAAGTATCTTAAAAAACACACTCACAGCTCCAGGTTTTTAAATGTGAATAAATGGAATATTCTGAAGTTTTGGACTGTGTCAAATGACAGCACCTTTGCGTTAGGATTTTCAGTTTTCTGATGTTTTATAGGCCAATCAAGAAAACAATCAGTGTGTGAGCGTCAACATCAGATGAGTCTGAAAGACTGGCTCATCCAAAAAAAAAACAAACAAAAAAAACGAACAAAACAAAAACCTAATGGTGACCGTGGAGGGGCTGAAGTCATACTGATCAATTTTTCTGTAAAATGTCTTCAAGCTGTATTTTAATTAAACTCTTCTGGGAAGACAGAAAAACTATTTATTTATAATCTGAATTACATGTTTGCCACTTCAGCAAACAACCAAGTCTAGACCACGAATCCTCGCCATTTCAGAACAACACTGCTTTCTGTTTGACAGCTGTATGATTTGGCACATCAGGGACTGACTGGGATTATCAAGTCTGTACTCACTAAATCTTTTTTTAAATAAACAATCTGCTTAGAAAAAGACAGGCATCTCTTTCAATCAAGTTAATACAGACATGAAAGATTTGTCAGGAAGCACTGACAAAGAAGAAAATTACAAGCGACAAAACTCGGCTCAAAGTCTATAAATAGTGTTCAAAGAAGAAACCTTGCTATGTGCAGCCTACGCGGATCATTCTAGTATTATACATGCTTTTCTGTACAGCATATCTTCAACCATTTCAAGGACCACAATAAGGCTCCTGTCAGACTCCTTTGTGTGTGGCTGACGTTAGGTTCTAGAGGTGGGCTGGCTCAGCACTAATCCCCTGAGGGGATGCTCAGCCAGCCTCAGACACATGCTGCTAATATTCCAGACGTAATCAAAGGTTTTCTTTAATGCTGATCTGGGCCCAATCCCCCCTCTGCCCGTGTTGGGCTCTTGTCACTGTTGTGATGCTGGGCTGAGCTCGGGGGTCGAGCACTCTGCGCCCCTCTAGGCAGCCCAACTAAACCACAAAGTGCTGATACTGAACCCAGAAAACTAAAAACAAACAATGAGGTCCAGATTCAACTCTGCAGTTTGCACACATGGTAGTAGTGGGACACATAATGGATGTCAAAATATATAGTATTAGGCATTATATGACCCAAAAAAATAAATAAATAAATTTTAAAAAAGCAGCAAACTCACACATTTGAGAGATTGGAAGTAAGAAACTGACATTTGATACAGAGGCTTTGGTGCATCTTCACTGCACTTGTTTTAATAGTATTGCTTTCTGGCAGTTCAGTGCTGTCGCAGTTTAAGGCACTTCCACATTGGCATAAGAAAATGTGTGTAATCAATATCACATTATATTATTAGATAACAATATGCAACTTTTAAAGAAATATGTAAAAAAAAAAGAGAGAAAAATGACAAGTGTAATTAACTCTACTCCATTGCTTCCAATTATATCATTAAACATAAAACAAACATGGAGGTGTTGCTGCTGTTTTCTCTACTGATTAAGTGTGTGACAAGATCTTGTGCCACAAGGTCTTGCGATATTAAAATGTGACAATATTTCTCGTAGAGGCAAAAGCTGTCTCGCAATATCAGTACATAACAGAACCGGGCCATTATGACAAGAGTGTGACCATACATAAACATGAGTCATAAACGCAACTCCCTGCTGTGTTTTAATGCATACACTATAATAATAACTTCTGGTGATGGAAAAAAACAGCATAATGCCACAATTGTTGGGAAAAAACATGGTATAAAGTCATATTTAGACAAAATGATCCAGGTATTTTCCACAAGTACTGCAAAATTTTATACAGCTCCTGAGATTTGCCAAGTTCACATCTGTTGTTTGAGAGACAGAGGCACTGTTACAGAGGTGCAACATTTCTAATCATTCAGTAAGGCCAACTTAAAAATAGAGACAAACCTATTCACTGCATGGCATCTGCATGTTGGATTACTGTACGTGTGTGTGTGTTATGTCTGAGTAACAAAAACACTGAGACTTCTCGAGACCATTTCAACACTCTGACCAGGGCCACCCAGTGCAATGAGGGTCTGCTGCCAGGGATTACAGCACGCAATGTGATAGGCCCTCACATTTGCTGTGGATCTTGAAGGTCAGAGGCTGCGACAGTGCAATGGCCCGGTAAAGCATGGCCCACTCCACTTCTTGTGCTTGTTACTGGCTCTAGAATCGGCCGTTCATACGATGTCTACAGTGAGCAGACAAACAGGAGAACGAGGCCTCTGTCACTGAGTTGAGTTTTACACAAATGTAGCTAAAAGCCTACAAACTCCATTGGACCCTGAGAGGTCGACAGCCTCTGCAGAGAGGAAAAACTGAGAAGGGCTTGAATTCAGTCATGAGCTGTTCCAACATCCCAAACAAATGTGTGAGAAACTTAAGTAGGCTATGAGCCTGTTGCAGCTGCCAACAACCTGGCCTGTTTGTGTAGAGCAGCTCTGTCACTACTTGTACTCACACATGCTGTCTTCTACAGCAAACCGTGTCACAAAACCTATTAAAACTACTAGAGGTCATACTGAAATTAGGACAGAACAACATTTTCATTTAAAAAAAAAACTTACATTTTCACCAATTGATCTAAGCATTTTAATTCATGGATTGTTTACTCCAAAAAAATGTCTAAAAACTGTTAATAAAGTCCCTGATAGGTTCTCAGAGTAAAGATGAAGTCCTCAGATTACATTTTTTGTCAAAGAAATGGATAAAAACCAAAAGATATTTCATGTACACTGGCATAAAACCAAGAAAATCTAAATGTATATTTGTGAACATTCATCTGAAAGTTTTTCTCTCACATTATTTATATGTACAGTGGGTACGGAAAGTATTCAGACCCCCTTAAATTTTTCACTCTTTGTTATATTGCAGCCATATGCTAAAATCATTTAAGTTCATTTTTTTCCTCATTAATGTACACACAGCACCCCATATTGACAGAACAACACAGAATCTTTGACATTTTTGCAGATTTATTAAAAAAGAAAAACTGAAATATCACATGGTCATAAGTATTCAGACCCTTTGCTGTGACACTCATATATTTAACTTAGGTGCTGTCCATTTCTTCTGATCATCCCTGAGATGGTTCTACACCTTCATTTGAGTCCAGCTGTGTTTGATTATACTGATTGACCGTGATTAGGAAAGCCACCCACCTGTCTATATAAGACCCTACAGCTCACACTGCATGTCAGAGCAAATGAGAATCATGAGGTCAAAGGAACTGCCTGAAGAGCTCAGAGACAGAACTGTGGCAAGGCACAGAT